ACCCCAATAAGACGTCGCAAAACCTGACGACCGCATTGTGACATGGGAACCGTGAACCGCAGTTGAATCAGTTCGTTTGCCCTAACTGCCTTTTGGTTAGGCTTTTGCGACAAAGTGCTAAAGGAGCGAACTTTGAATAAACAATCCGAGTGGCTCTTGGGGACCTGTCTGTGCCCCCCTCGTTAAAGCTAGCTCCGATAACGGTGCTAGGCACCATGCTACGGCGTCCGTGGGAACCGGGCGCGCTCTGCAACCCTGGTCCAGTGGTGCGGGCGAATAGTATGCGCGTTGGACTAAACGATCGGAATCGAGCCCTTAGTGTTGAATGCTGGAATGTATGAACGTTCCGGGACCCTGGTTCCCAAAAGTTGACGGTTGGCAGCCTTAATCGGTACAGCGCAGATGTCTGCTGCCTGTTTGAAGTCCGAATTCGTGACTTAGGTGTTCGGGTAACAAAGATCCCGGAGCCATCTCACACTTCACCTCATACCGCAGTGGCCCACTCGGCTCCTCCGGTAGACGTGATGTGGATATTGCCCATTCGCAACAAGCGAATCGTGTACTACTTGCTTGGGGACCAGTCAATAGACTAATAGCTTACTTGTAATTTAAGGGTCATTTAATAAACATCTCTGTAATCTGCGCGTACGCATTCACTAAAAGCCTCCCTCACTGCAACCTGCTGATTGTTACCCGGGACTGGAATGACCGGCCTGGACTTCGTGACTCGTTCTCGATGTAAGAATGGTCAAAGATTGCTGATCAGAAGTCACTGTTTGTTACGAACACGTGCTTCCAGCTCTGCAGCAAACAGCTACCAACCTAGTACTCAAATGATGGTCGCACGGACAAGCAGATTGATATTTTAGTCAGTTCAAGATTCCACAGTTGGGTTCATGGTAGCAGCTCACTGTGTGGTGCTGAGACTGGTAATATCCATGGATCTGATCACGTTCTCGTTTGTATATGCTTGAAAGTTCACCTATCATCCGCGCCTTAAATTCCACGCTCTAGACGCTTGGATATAGTCAACATTCGGCTACCCAGTACCGCTGAGACCCTGGTCAGTGAAATCCGATCCTGTTTTACGACTCAAACTGACAAAGAAGAATGTAGCCTGTGGTCATCATTGAAAGCATCAGTCTGTGACGCTCTCGTGCACGGACCTGCGGAATGCCTCTGTAGTTTTCTGCTCAGGAAGCTGGAGTCAGTTGCCGTGTTGATTATTTTTTCCGCCAACTCGGAAAGGTGACGGCAAAACCGGCTAGGGAGAACCCGAAGAGATACTGGATTGAGATAGCGACCTCCATGGAGCAGGCCTGGGACGTTGATGATACTCGAAACCTCGGCCACATTATCCACGCATTTTTTGGTCGACACTCGTCACTGATTAACCCAATCTGTGATGTGAATGGTGGCTTCATTGCTGACAACTCGGCGAAGGTCGAGCGCTGGCCTGACCACTTCGATACCAAACTCAACACCTTGCTCTCATCTACAGCATACCTATTCTCTCTCTTTCTCACTTAGCCAGTGTCTAGTGACCCAACTTCTTTAGGAGGAGTCGCTGATTCCATACAACAACATGGTGCGCAAAAACGAAGCACCTGTTATATAAACTGAAATCTGCAAGTCTTGCGTTAATACCCTGAATTCATGAGATAATTGGGCAAGCTCCGCGAGACGAGGCTATTCCTAATGTCTGAGGTTCAGGTATGCTTGTACTTCATTACTGGAAGGGACATAGGAGTAGATGCGAGAACTACCGCGACATGTATCTTATTAACTTTGCTGCGAAAATTTTCGCTATTGTCCTTCTGCGGTTCCAGTCTGTAAGTGACTCTAGGATGAGGCCGACCAGGCTGGATTCTGCACTGGGCTTGGATGTGCGGAATATATATTCACACTGAGACCCTCCATTGCATACCGCCTGGCTACCGACCACCGTCTGCTTATTTGGCCGCGCTGTCGCGTTCGATTCCGTCCACCGTTAATCCTTGTGGCGGAGAATGGCAATAGAAGCTGTACCACCAAAAACCATGGCCACCTACCGTTCCACCACTGTGCAGGTTCTGGTCCATAACAACTTTTCAGAACCGTTCGCTATTGTGCCTGGTGTCCGAAAAGTCTGTATTACGTCGCCTACAACTACGCCCTTTACCTGGATTCATTGGATGACCCTCCGTGAAGAGGACGGTGTTGATTTTGTACCCAGCCGCCGGCTACCTGATCTCTAATACGCCGATGATATCACCTTACTAGTCTAAATTTTATGTAATCGATGCTCTATGGTGTTAGTACAGCCGACACTCTACGATAACTGAATTATTCACCTCCGCCAAACCCTCCATGGTGTCACGCGTGAACGATGTCGTTAAATCGGTTCTTTTTTCCATGAACACTGGGGGAATCGAAGTTTTATGCTGCATCGTTGTCCAAGAGAGGGCACTTCTCGATGTTGGTGGCTGTAACCTTGAAGAAGTAGACATTTTTAAGTACCTGAGAGCGAGGTGCTACCCACTCGACGGAGTAAGAATGACATTGTCTTCCGAATCTATGCAGCTCCTAGTTTTCTTAAGCCCTATGAAGTGCCACGCGATATGTCAATTCCCACGAAGGTTCGCGTTTAACGCGCATCCGTCCGGTATGTTCTCTACAGCTGCGAACAATAGGCTACGGATAGACGATGAAAGAAGATTTGAGGTATTTGACCACTGTTGCTTGAGGAGCATCCGAGTGAAGTACACCAACTTCGCGTCAAGTGAGACCATCGGTAGTCGCTGCGACAATATCGCAAGGATATCCCAGGCCATCCAATAAAGACGACTAGGATAGTTTTAAGGCGTTCTTCGTCGTCATCCTCCATTTGACACCGTTACTATATTGGAGACGTCGAAGGGGAGGTCAGCTTAAAACCTGAGTCCACTAAGTCCGTCAGCACATGAAAGGGGCGCTTGAACTTTAGCTATTCGGCCTCTGGCGTTGGTTAAGATAATTAATTCAACTGTTCTGGTCTACTGACACAGGTCATCCCGCGTGGAGAGGTACCATCCGGAGCATAATCGAGGTCGGCTAGATCAGGCATGAGCGTTATCATAACATCATTCGCAACCCTCACCCATGTTGGCAGTGTCTGGGATCTGGTTTCATTCACTCCGCCGATTTAGTCACCCGTGCTATTTTGGTTACTGTGGGGAATATTTGGGATCACTTAAAAGCTGTATCAGTTGATATGGTATGACCTTTGTTTGGCTGCCCGGTGACGAAGAACGAGGAGAATCAATCTTTATGTTTCTGTTGGATTTTTCCTAAACACACTAAAGGACTAACTTAGTCTTCCTGCCTAAATAATACAAGAGATAGCCTACTGTCGCACATCTATCCCGCTTACCGTCCTGATATTTGTCGACACTTCTACGTTTAAAGATGACGAAAACTGTGGGTTCAAAGCATATCTAGCCGTAAGCAGGTCCAGCCTACGTATGTTTGATTTCTCATTACGAGCTTTCGTTGAGAATCCCCTGCATTTCCGTCCTCGTTTAGGTCTTTACTATAACGTTTTCTCATGACGCCTTTGTTTTTATTTTTTTGGCTGAAACTCGTAGTGGCGTAACTTGGATATTAATGTTCTACTACCTTTGTGCTCTCTTCGTCGTGCCGTTATGTTCGTTTAATGTGTTTTCACAAAGTGGCTTAGATGGTCTTTTATTTCTGTTCACAGTTTCCTCTTTCCTATGTTAATCTTATCTACGTGTGGTTTCATTTATCGATTACGGCCATTCTCAGGTTTTAAAAAACTTGGTCACGTAAACAGTACAACCAAACCGCTGTAGTGCTGCTATGCATCCGTGTGTGTGTGTGTTCCTGTTGCAGGAGGTGGGGGAGAGAGTGAGGTTGACCCTCGGCGCGTTTCTTTCCTCACTATAATGAATCCGATGAGTTTGAATCTATCGCGGTGCGCTAAAAGCCATGGCTTGGAGGGTTGTTAACTGGCGGGTTTACTCGGACACCGCAGTCGGTCCAGTATGTCTAATTGTGTGGTGTGGCTGTCTGCGAGCTAAGAGTCAGATTCAGTGGCTCCTTCTTAATGTGGTCATTATAGCGCTCCCTCTCAGGAACATACCTAGCGAGACGTGCTGTTTGGTACGCGTGTTGAGTGTTTGTCGCGCCAGTTATCTGCACCTTCCCGCATTTCTGGCCTTCCCTACTTTGTCTTGACATCGGCTCCCGGTACGGGGTGGTCAGAGAGTTGGGTAGACCCGGCGTGTTTGCCTTCACTATAATCAGCCCCAGTCATCGTGTGCTTCAACTCGTTGAAGTTTGTAGTGGATATCGTCGAAATCGACCGTCGAACTATCGTGTGTGATGTGTGAACCACTCGAAAAGTTTTGTAATCTGACCCTGTCTAGCGCTGTTCCTCATGCTGTCTTGAACGCGGATGCGGCACCCGGTATCGACATAAACAGGTGGTCGAAACTGCAGTTTGGACCTCTTCTCCTGCAACATTGACGACTCTGCGTAATAATTTATCCGGTTTCTAGGTTTGCACTGGCCGTGCCATAGTGTACATATTAGCATAGTATGAGAAGTCTATTATTGGGAAGGAAACTCACCAGAGACGGCAATGGATAAGGTTGCATAGTTTATAGGGTGTCATTTCTATGCGACCTCGTACCTGCCGAAATTGGTTATTTCCGAATTCATGGCAATTGGTTGTACTTGGTACGATGCCCATTTGGTCACCCGCTACTGTGGTACGCCTCAGCTACAGCCTTGACCTAGGCTTGCCTTAAAATCGCATTGCCCCTGAAAAGAAAGCGGCGGTATCGGTATTATTACTGTCCTTGCCATACATCTTTTCACATGCAATTATTTCGTACTCTACACGGGCCGTGGCGATCGTTGTCGTATTTGAGGAAGGAGGAATCACAATTTTTGAGACCGTGATCCTTTCTGTGCAGTCTGGTCTCTTACCAAGATCCCTCATATTCAGCTATTTCTGAAGAGCTCTCCGGTAGTCTTAAGCCAGCTTTTCCGTGGAATCTCGAGAGGTATGGATGTATGGAGGATTTCTTGTAGTCCATTCGTGTGTATGCTGTGTTTTAAACGACAGCGAGTTCATTCGTACTGCCTTCGTGACGCACCCATTCTCGTGTAGACGTGATCTTTCTAATTTCGATCCATCGCAGTGCATGTGGACGACACATTTAGGGGTGAAATGGTCTCTACCGAATTATTCGGGGGCAATCTCGGCTGAACAGTCAATTTAAATGTTTCTGTATTCCGAGTTCAATCTCCATCCGCATTTCAAAATTGAGCACTGAGCTCCCAACCTTTCCTGAGACCCTTTGTGCAGGATGAAGGGTGATTCTTCGTTTATCGAAGCTAGATCAAGGTGCTTTTATGTCTATGAAATAGTGGTCCTCATGATGACAATCTTTGTGCAGGCTTCTGTCGAAATTCTGCAAATATTCCCATTTTACGATTGAGAATTCATGTTCTGTAGAAATATCCATTCTCTCGCGGTTTTTATGGCCCAATGTGTTTTGTCTAGTGCCTTTCTGCTTGGTGGTTCTTGGGTGAATTAATGCAAAGTCCTTTAGGTGTGCCATCCTGACTTGAATACGCTCGGGGCGCGAAAGTAGTTTTCGCTTATCATTAAAGAAACTCTTAGGCTTTTAAGGCCGCCGAACTGCTTCTTCCGAGTGTACCGGTTTTAGTCCGCCCTGTGGGCATGTATTTTGTGGCCTACCCCGTGATTTAAGAGCCGTTTTCTAGTATCCTATGCCGCCGCCTCATGTGGGTCTTTGAAGTGAAGGTCAGTCGAAGACTTATTTCCACTTTGTCCGTTAGAATACTACGTCAGAGGAGCCTTAATTGGCCTAACTAGATCTACTGCTATCGATTATCGCGCGTGGCCACAGACGTTTTAACCTCCGTCAACTCTGAAATTTTGAGATGAAGAGGATTCGATCGCTGGGCCAACACTTTTATTCGCCTGACGTGTCGACATCCGTCGAGGATTCTTCCTCAGAATCATGAGCAGAAAGCAGTAGCAGAAATGGTCTATTGTCCGTCTTCAAGTTATCCGGACTAGTTTGTTGGCGGTTAGACACTGATTGCCTCTATTGGACTAATGATTTACAATAATGCCCGCGAGCAGCGCTGTTGTTCGAGACTGCCTTGTATTGGGAGTATGTTGGGTCGTGGGCCGAAGATTTTGTTACGGTCGTCTAAGCAGGTCTACATGAGGGCTATCAGCTCCTTGTGCTGATTATTTTTCTACTCTACTTCTTGAACCTGGTTACGAACTCGGTGGAAATAGACGTCAGTGGACTGCACGCTTGAGAGTAACTCTCATGGGCGCACCTTCTATCTTGAATCAACTTGTTTGGCAGCGTGCTCGGGTGCACAAACATAGACCTCCTTCGTGATGTAGGCTGCCGGCAGCTGGGTACCTGTCTGCCTGGTCCTAATAGCGACCACGTTCATGTTAGCGTAAGGTCTCCTACAATACGGGCATTCTCATGCACTTGCCCAATCGATGGCCTTCCTGGAGGATAGGGAAACCAGGGCCAACTGTTTTGCGCGTCCATGACTGGAAGATGGTCGAACTCCATTCGATGAAGCTTGTTGTAGGATAAGCAGGTTTGCACCCGGTGCCAAATATCAAACAGTGACAGTGCCGACAAGATTCCGGATTGGCGAACGTGGATCCTGGCATTGCGAAATGGCTGTTGCGAATAATCTGTACCGCCTTACTACTATTGCTTTTTCTTTTAATTTGTCATCCACCTCGGATGGGGAGACTCTGGACCGCATCTCTACGGAATTGTTAAATTTTTATTACCGTAAACCCGCAAATGTGTCTTGGTTGTCAACTAGCTTAGCTTTTCCCGAAAGTCTCAGTCGCCATATATTTTGTTTGTGCCATGGCTATTTCTTTACCATGCCCAATCACTCCTTTTCGACATTTGTAGGAGTTTTGCTTTATACATACCTTAAATATGTTTTATTTGGGTGTGGAGTCATTGTTGTCGCCTGTAGCAATGACCGAGATCATTTAAGGTTTGTTACATATCTGCCCCCTTTCACAAAAAAGGCTCAGTCGCCCACGGTAGCAGAAGTTTTTGTAGCCAGTCACTGTTGGTGTCAGCATAATGTTCTCCTAATGAACGTGAACTAGGATAAAGGCGCTTCATGTCAACGGCCTTCCTTGATAGGCCTGGTTTTATAG